TGTTCCTCTTATACGGAATTTATTTCACCCAAATAGGTTTCGCCCCAACCAAAAAACATAATTTTGTCCTTATTAATTCAACCAATCAGAGCTTGGGAATACACTTTTGCCAGCAACTCTCGACTGCCAGATGTCCACTGGATATTTTCATAAGGAGCACACAGTGTTTCCTTCAGTTTGAGCATGTATTTGTTGTCGTCCATAAACTGAGAATCCTTTGAACTATTGTGAATCCGAGTCACTCGTTCTTTATAAAACAAACACCCCAAGAGTGAAACAAAAAGAGGCAATAAATTGTGGTAACAATTATTAAAATGCAATGCTTGACAAGCTGCGACTAAATTAAGTTTTTTATGGCTGTGAGATGGCCTCAGAAAAACATTCCCTTGCGCAGATGAAAAAAAAAAAAGAACAACTGGTGTGCAGCACAATGAAATGACTCTGACTATCAGCAACATGCTACTTTGAATTTTAAAAAGAAAAAATAAACAAGAATAATTAAAAACAAATCTATTTGGGAAGAATACAGAGAGGCATAAACATAATTTCTTATTCAATAATCAAAGGCACGTTTATGACAAACTGTATAGTGAATATTATCTGCATATATAACTATCACAAATCTTTATGTGCATTTCATTGTTTTTGTATTGTTCTGTGTGGGCCGCAGCAGGAAAAGCACAAGGGTATTCAATATGATGGCTCTGCTTTATTCAAAGCTGTAGTTGGTAACATCTATTAAAAAAAAACCTTTTGCCATATTTGCTAAAACTGTAACTATATTCACACAGCACTAAATGAAACAGATTATCTATGAGGAAGATCATACTCCTCTGCCTGCCTTTTAGCACCTCTAATTGCCTTACTGTATGTGAATGAAAACAACCAATCAGAGCCAAAGCAGCTGTCAATCATGTCAATCACTGCTAATGAACTGCGGTCACACTGTCAACCATTGCGTATTTCTCACCTCATGTTTTCAGACAACTCATTCTCACTCCCAGCTCATAAAATATCGACACTTGGTCAAAATACGACACGCTAGATACCCTTCCTTCGTCATATTTGGACGCTCAGGGATGATGCGACAATTTACGATGTTACACGCATTGTGTCTTTTCAAAATAAACTTCCATTTTCACGGGGAACTTAGAGTTTCTCCTCACTAAAGCATACAGTTTCATTTCAAATATACATACAACCTAAGTAAAAAAAACATTGTTTTTAAGTTTCAGCAGCAAAGGTACGTGGTTAGGTTCAGAAAAACACAGTGGTTTGGCTTTGATTAAGTATGCTTGTTACCTAATGTAATATCACGTGACATATGTCACTAGCATAGTATTCTACACATACTAGCACCCTACGTTGTTATTAAAATAACTCGACTATCTTTTTAACCTACAGCATACACGAACAGCGGCATTCCAGATAAAAGTCTGGAGTTTGTTTGATGCGCCAAAGTAGACTTTAGCGAATACCAGAAGCAGTAGGAAGAGGAAGAGGGACATGAGTTTTTTCACCGTCTATCTGTCTCATGTACTTCTTTCAGAATATGGTATGATGATTCAGGTGTGATTTTTTCACGGTATGATAACCGTGTCAGAAAATATCACGTTTCCACATTATCATGGTATTACAGAACTTACATGATTATCAGTGAGAATGACCCTTAAAAGAATGAAAATGGAAGTGTAATTGATGGTTAAACAAACATTTCACTGAAACCATTTTGTTAATGGCAGTATGTGTAAAAAGTCTCCCCTTAGAAAATAACTAAGATTAAGGGGAGATTCAATGTCTGGTTGTTGTTGTTTTTTCAATATCGTAGATAAGCAAATGTGCGTGGTATGATAACCATCAGCTTTTATATTATGGTTTACATTGAAACCGATATATCGCTGCAACCCTAGAGTATAGTGACAGTTTCAGCTCATATGACAAAAAAATATTTTCATAAAAGTTACCAACTTTAGCTTTAAGTTCATCAGTGAGCCAGCATGTACTGTGCATGTGGGAGGGCCCTGAAAGTAGTAAAGCAAAATGGCAGTCCTTGTTCATAATATTAATTACACATGGATTTCTCTCTATATCATGTTGAAACCCCTGAGGTAATTAAGGCCTATTGTATTTCTTCTGTACTGTAGTAATTTTAAAATTTAACTTGAAAATTTACAAGGTCAGCCAACTTACAAAGTGTTGCCTCTATATATCATCGCCCATTTTGTACAATGTTACACTATTTATGGTCGATTATCACTCTAGTCAATATGTCTTTATGCTGACATCAGACCTTTTTTTGTGCTGAGTTCAGGGAGTCTGGACTGTCGACAACTGTGACTTACATGACTGAGTGACGGCCTGAGAAGGAAGGACTGTATTTTATATACGCTGATTGAGCTACAGCTTAATAAAACTTTTCACTAACTTTCACACCCATATAAGTCATGGCCATGTCAAGAATCCCTCCATACCACCAGCTATGTAAAGAATCTGTATGGCAGTATAAGAGGAGCAGGAAAATGAAAAGAATCCAAAGCCAGCCGACGAGTTATCTTTGTGATTCAAATACTTTCACCCATAAACTGTTGTGAATCAAAGACTCCCATTCAGAGCGTTTCTGAACTCCCACACGCCTTCCTGCACATGCATACAATTCCAGCACAGCTGAGCAGAACTGTGGGACAAACCAACTGAATTTTTAGCATGCACTTAGACTCATACAAAATAGACAGCAGGACTTTCACTTGTAGCTTATGCCACCAATCAAAAATTGACTCATTTGTTTATGATCTATTTTTCTAGTTTAAGACATTTTTAGTCTTGTAACTTGCCTCTATTGTGTAGATAAGTTTTTTAAATTTATGTGGTCTCTGATTTGTTCATTTGTTTTGAATGCTTTCAATCTGTAGGCATGCATCGCCCTGATAAGCCAGTCTCTTTATTAGTGCCATTTTAATATTCAGTGTTTACAGAATTAGTTGCATTCATTCATTTAATCTTAACGGGCTGGCAACTCAGTTTTTATTGCCACAACATCCCCTGGCATTAGGTATTTTACACAGAAATATTGGCAATCACAGGGAAGCATACAGATTTTAAATTTTGGGTGAAAGACAGCACTGTTATTGGATTGGTACACTGTAACAGGGGAGAAAAGATTGGACTGGTGCATCCTTGTCAATTTGTTTTGTGGAAAGTGGTGTTTTGCTTTTCATAACCATAGCAGTTTGCAGCGATGGGTGTGACTAAATACATTTACTCAAGTACTGTACTTGAGGACAATTTTAAAATACATGTACTTTACTTGAGCATTTCCATTTTCTGCTACTTCATACTGCTACTCCACTACAGTTTGGGTGCACATATTGTACTTTTTACTCCACTACAGTTATTTAACAACATTAATTTCTAGCTACATTGTAGATTCACATTATTAATACAAATTATACATCAAATAATAAATTATGATGGATTTTTTTTGATGAATTAAAGCAACACAACAGTACGCTGCAACAATACTGATGCTTATATATTAATGCACTAATTTTACACTAATTATAATCCAGTGATATAACATGCATTATCCTGAAAAAGGACATTTTGCATATTGAGTACTTTTACTTTTCGTACTGCAAGTATTTTTTGACACTAATAATTACGTACCTTTAGTCGGATAAGATTTTGAATGCTGGACTTTTAGTTGTAACCAAGTATTTCTACAGTGTAGGCTAGTGTTGCTACTTATACCTAAGATCTGAGTACTACTACTACTACTACTACTACTGGAACTACTACTACTTGCAACCACTGGTAGTAAGTACGTTTCATGTTTAACAAAAGAGTGATTAAATTAAGTTGATTCTGTGGATTTTAATGGTCACAGCTGCTTAATCAAAAATACAGAACTCATTTTCCCTTTGGCTTGAAAGCACTTTTATTTTGACTACTGTGCTGCAAGTATAAGTCCTGCATTTAAAACTTTAGTTAAGTAAAAGTACAAAAGTATGAGCATTTAAATATACTTAAAGTAGATTTTCAAAAGTGAGGTTCTGATTATGCAGGATGACCCATTTCAGAATAATATATATTTTACTATTTTTAATTATTACTTCATGGTATTACTTTACAATTTGTTTTATATTTTATTTTATTATTCTACTATTATTATTGATGCATGAATGTGTAGGCATCACTAATGTTGCAGCTGATAAGGGCGGCACTTATTGTAACTACTTTTTGTACTGCAGGGAGGCTCACTCCATGCAAATACATAATATTAACTAATAATATTAAAATAACTAATATTATTAGTTGATAATAGCGTGTATTAATCATCATAATCTGCAAAGTAACTACAGCTGTCAAAATAAATGCAGTGGAGTGAAAAGTACTATATTTACCTTCAAAGTATAGTTGAGTGAAAGGATAAAGCAGCATAAAATGGAAATACTCAAGCAAAATACAAGTACCTCAGTGGAGAGTAAATGTACATAGTTACATTCCACCACTGCTTATCCTGCATTGCAGTCGCCTTTCTGTTGGACTCCTGTGCTCCGCTGGTTTGTACAGTATCACGGTGCAACCTGCAGCTGTCCTGCACTGCGCATGGAGATGCAACAGACCGGGGGTCACTATTTGTCAGGATACTTAGGCTGAGGCAGACATGTTCCCTTATACTGGGCTCATTATTTTGCATGTGTCTGCCATCATTTTCACACGAGTAATTTCTTCTTTGACATACACATACGACCAACAGACCTCAGTTTGACACAGCAAAGGACAAAACGCACCGGAAAAGTCTTCAGCACAATCTCGACATCACAAATAAGAAACAAGAGCCGTCTCTAACCTGTTATCATTAGCCAGCTGGCGGCTAACATTTAGCGCTGTAAAAGTGCTCGCAGCGTTAAACAAGCCCAAACTCTGGTTATGCGGGGAAGACAGCGTTACATACAAGCGATAAGTGTAAGGCGAGACAATTGTGTTGCTTAAAAACTCACCTTTGTTTCGCTGTTCTACGAAAAGGATAAAGGATTTTTAACAGGAGCTGTCACTGCACTTCCGGGTTAGTCTGTGACGTAAGCAGACGCACCACCAGCAGCTGGCCATGCTGAGATTGTTTTGGTTTTGAGCACTGGGTGTTCATGAAGATATATTTGTCTCAGTATTTTTTATGGGAACAGACCGACAGTCCCTCTGCTAATGTGCAGTCTGTAAATATAAAACACCTACCACAAATACAAAAAAAGTTTTCGCAACAAACATATAACAGATCTGTAAATGCACAAAACAAAATCAGAAATTAAAAAAGAAGAATCAATGTGTATAAAATGCAAATCTGCAAGTGTAGAACTGAGATTAATAATTTAAAGAGTGGCTTCACAAATATCTGGTCGAAAGTTGTAGTGTTTTTTGTTGGGGTTTTTTTGTTTATTTAGCTGGATTTTATATTTGCAAAATATTTGGGGGTTCACAAATCTTTCTTTACATTTGAGGAGGTTGTTTTATATTTACAGATTAAACATTAAAACATCAGTTCAGACAAATAAATACTGGAAAATAAATACATTTATTACTTTGGCTGTCATTTAACATTTTATGGCACATGTTATTCATTATTTATTGGTAGAAATGGTGCAAAGTAACTGAGTACATTTTCTCAAGTAGTGTACTCAAGTACAAATTTGGGGTACTTGTACTTTACTTTTATTCCATCACATATATTTGACAGCTGTAGTTATGTTGCAGAATAAGGTTATTAATAATCGTATTCCTAATTACATTTTAATCCATCCCTAAGAATAACAAAAAAAAAAAAAACCTCTGTTCTGGTAAGAGCAATTTTTTTGTTACTTATTTTCTATTAGGTCATTTTTTAATTTTTCTTTCTTTTATTTTTTTTTACTGTTGTTGCTTTATACTACAACTCTTGACGTGTGTATGTTCCTCTGTTTGCATAGACCAATTAAGTTTTTTAGGGGGGAAAAGAACATGCAAAAAGATGTTTTAAGCCTACATGGATACCATATAGATTAACTTCATCTTAGAGGGAACGTGGTAGAGCCAGCACAAATTGAACACCCAGTCAGTGTCGGCCAGTGGTGGAATGTGAACGAGCACAGTTACTTGTGTACTGTACTTAAAAACAAATTCAGTGTACTTGTATTTGGATATTCACATTTTCTGCTGCTTTATATCTTTACTGTACCACATGTTAGAGGTAAATATGGTACTTTTTTTCCACTACATTTGTCCGACAGCGTTAGTTACTTTTCAGATTTCAGTTCCTCTTAAGAACCCTCTTCAATCAGCTGAAAAATGAATCAACATAAAGCTGAAAACAGGGCTGTTTTTGTGACACCTTAAAAAGTTATATTTTCAGAGATACATGGTTCACTACAAACATATAATGATCTAAAAGAATATGATGCATTGCTGTAGATTACACAATCAAACAGTGAAAGGACTTAAATTAGCACAACCTTAAACCTCTACAGCTAAGAGTGATCCAGAATTACCATTACCATACCATAAAACACTGACAGATAACATTTTATTGCACAGCAAATATTTAAGTACATTCTGCTGGTACATACTTTTACTTAAATTAGGTATTGAATGTGGGACTTTTACCTGTAGTGGAATATTTTCATGGTGTGGTATTATTATATTTACTTTACTATAGGATCTGAATACTTTGTCCATCACTGCATTTAACCCTTTATATTAGTGGTGCACAAATGGTGATTAGTTTAATTTAATTTTAAGTTTAGTCATTACTTAATAAAGTGAATTAAGGTGGGGGGTGTTGGTAGCGTAGTGGATAGTGCAGGCGCCCCATATACAGAGGCATCGCCTCGCTGCAGCGGCCGCGGGCTCAAACCCGGCTCACAGCCCCTTGCTGCAGGTCAGTCCCCACTCTCTCTCTCTGTCTCCCCCCTTCACTAACTGTCCTGTCATTAAAGGCAAAAAGCCCACAAAAATAATCTTAAAAAAAAAAAAAAAAAAGTGAATTAAGGTGAAACTTTATTGACCCTCAGGGGGAAATTTAGCATTACAGTAAGAAATAGACCAGAGAGCAGTGGTGGAATAAGTAGTCAAATCCGTATTTATCCGTATTTAATTTATTCGTATTTAAAGAATTGAATGTAAAAGTATTATACATACAGTCTTTTCATCTGAAATGTAGTGGAGTAGAAGTGTGAAGCAGCGGAAATAATTTAACTCAAGTAAAGTACAAGTATCCCAAAAGGTAAGAGTCAACTAGTCACTTAAGTTAAGAGTAAATGCAGGGGTCATAGTTGGGGAAAGTGGGACTGATTACCCAGGGCCCCAACAGGAGGGTGGATTTCAAAAAGCCTGGAATATAAAGTGGTTGGTTTTATTTGCAGTTTTTTATTTGTAATTTATTAGTGCTGTAACTAGATTAATAATGTCTGAAGAGTTCGGTTGAAAGACTAAACTTTGTGTTACCCCTTAAAGACGCAAAAGGATTTAGTCCACTAGGATTTGCTCTAAGTCTCTACAGAGACTGCTTATACATAGGGCCAAGAATTTGGTGCTTCACCCCTGAGTAAATGTACTAGTTACATTTCACCACAGGCAAAGATTTAGATACAAACAGGATACGGATTAATCAAAAAACATACACATATACATATTGTAGTGTAAGTCCTAATCAAGTAGAATGGTCATACTGCAGAAGTTGGTTAAGAAACACAGCCATATGATCAGCATATAACCATGTTTTATGCATAAGTTCTTATAAAACTAAGTGAGATGCATCTATATGTGTTAAAACACTGTCATACATGTCAGAGTATTCATAATATGAGTTCACATTGTATCCATACGCTAAAGAACACACACATTCAAATATAACCTATCGTACTCTGTATAATGATAACTCACATATACTCAAATGCTTGTATTACCTGATGCACATTAAAGGATTATATTGCATGAAGGCATAAGGGACCCTATAGAAATAGTCCCCAAGTTCCATATGTTTTTTTAAAAATAGTGTAAACCTGAGTTCCAACCTAATGGTGGGAGAGTTTGGGGATTTACAGGCCAGGGGAAAAAGATACACCATTAAGACATGCCCGGGCATGTTCGGGCATGTCTGGACAAAGGCGAAAAGGCCGGCCACCAATAGGTTTGGGCTCAGGTAGGAAGGGCTAAAGAAAGAAGGTGGAGATTCTCTTGAATCTTCACCAGCATAAAAGGGAGAGCTCAGAAAGTGAAACTTCAGTCCAGCTCCGGGGCTTGACTCAATGAGTTGTATGTGTTGAAGCTTGTGAACACATTAAACTCGATTGCGTCGGACTCTGCCTGTCTCCAGTGTTTCTTTGAGTATTACTTAGCTGAATCCAAGGTACCAGATCGACATCAAAGGGCAACTGAGAAGTCAAGTGGAGGACAAGGTCGGGAGCCTACAGGCCCAATTCCAGGCACCGATTTTTGCCTCCACAATATACACTATAATTACACCTCATCTGCTAACGTGCATTTTTGAGATTTAGAAAACAAAATGATAAGAGTTTCCTATAGTTATGAAAAGACTTTTGGTTTCAAATTGTCTCCACAGTGAAGGAGAGGAGCAACAAGAGAAGGACCCAAATGTAGACAGTCGAGATATCAGTGGGGGTTTTTTAAGTTGAAAGGCTTGGATGCGGGTAGAAGCGGAAATCAGCAGGTACTGGTCCTGGTGACCTAAAAGCAAACACTAAAGGCGACTGAGCAACATGGCAGTCTGACAAGGGAACATCAGTAGTGGACTGGTATAACAGGGCCATGAGAGAGCGAGATGCAGGTGAAGAGGTGGGCAGGGAAGGCATCTGATGGATGGATGGAAATTGGCAGTAAGTGGCCTGAGGAACAGGGAATGTGGCTGGAAAGGAGGTACAGAGACAGACTGTGACACAAATATTTCTCATATGCATAAGAACTGGCCATTGGCAAATTGTCTTCCCTGGACAAAAAAGATTATCTATCTACATGTTTCACTCAGAGAAAAGTCCTTATACTTGATCATGAAACTTAAATGATCCAGATGTTGAAACAATATGCACATTAATATGTATAAAATGTGATATTTCTTGTTACATGGAGGACAAAATGCAACCAGACATCAATGCTGAAAACACGTCTAAAGTAAAAATAAGTCTGTCTTGATTGCAGCATGCTGTGCCCATTTTCCTTTTGCAGCTGGGTGCTTGGTCTTTTATTGTACAAGCACACACAGATAGATTTTATTTGTTTGTCACCAGTGATTGCTGCACGTAATTACCACAATTCTGATCAATGTAAGTGTAAATTTCTGTTTGTTTGTTTTTTCATGTTTTTCATAAATGCAAGAACTTTGCCATACGTGTGGTTTTTGTGAAATATTGCCCAGGGGAAAGTGGGTCATCACATCAGGATACAGATGCAAGCAAACCACGTGAGGTAATGTAACCAGCAATTAAAAGCATACTGAGCATAATGCAAAACATAAATTATAGTGCAGCGTCTTTGTGAAGATTTACAGCTTCACCGGTTTGATGATATGACATGAAAAGATGTGCTATAATATGATTATGATCTTGACGCCAGCATTTAAATTGGCTCTGAAAAGAATGGTGCACGGGCTTTTTATGTTGCAGATGTGAGTAGGCAGCGTTGCAGATATTAAGTCACCGCATGTGGGTAGCTGCCCATGTAGGGTAGCTTGGCAATTTTCGCAATCTTATAAGAATATCATAATATGATTTTCTCTTTTGAAGATTTAAATCATATTCATCCAACTTCAACAAAAGCACTTGGGATGCGCCGTGGATCTGCTGTGATGCTCATCCAAAAGTTTGTCTGGTGGGATATTTAGTTTAAGGCAAAGCAAATTAGAAAGATAAACAAAAAAGGAAGAGGAATCTGGCAATTGAATAAAGGGAAGAAGTTGTTATGACACCTGGATTGTTTTCTTCTCAGGAATGTTTGATCTCTTGAGGAGCACAATGCGGCAGGGATGGTACTGATAAGATCTTTTCACAGGTGGAATTTGCTCCTCTGTTGTGTGAAACACTCCCACAG